TGCCCTTCAGGGTTGCTGCCTGAAGAAGAAGCCACGACGCCTAACTGCCTTCTATGCACGTTTTTCGGCTCGAAGGCAAGACCATCCCTGGCTTCTGAAGAACTACGCGCACCAGCATCTGTCTGTAGTCGCGAGGCATTGATTTGGGCTTTGAGCGCCATCTGGGAAAGGATACCAAAATGTTAATGCTACTTTTCTTCGGAAAAATCTCTCCTCACTGTTCGAGTGCCGACCCAGTTAGCTACGAACAGCCAAATTTACATCGTGTTTATCGTTGCAAGTGTTACTTTTTGTGAAATAACCTTGAGGCTCAAGTTGAACAAGGCCACACCTGTCAGCGACTCCCATCATATACGAACGTGGCATCAAGTTGAGGCAGTTCCCTTCGATTGAAAATTTCTAGCACTTGTCAGTTGTCACTGAAAACTTTCAGAAACGGAGGAGCCCCCGTTCACTCTTTTTCAAGTTGTAGCCTCAGAACATTACACGAAGTTCCAAGCACGGTTTTTGGTTTATCAAAGCGCATTCAATTTCGATTTTGAAGTTCCGGGTACTTGCTTAAGAATTCTAATATAACGGAATCTCACTTGCTGAAACTCTTCGGCTTGGAAAAATGTTCTTTATATAAGCCATGCATTGAGCCGAGATCAGTTCCTACTCACAATAACAAAACGAAAGTCAATGTCGTGCTGCACAAAACTGCTGATCCTAGCATGAAGATTGGGGCTGAGGATGCAGACTGGCAATGTGCCTCTTGAGTGCCCCCTTCTGCGTGGCCCTATAACTGCAATGAGGACATGGATATGGGCGTTCGCCCGTATGTGTCCGCATGTGAACATTCAACTCGCTGGGCCACCAGAAGGATTTCATGCAGATGGGGCAGGTACACTCTTTAACCCAGCCACGACCAGGAGGAGGCTTGCTCGAAGAAGGCGGATCAAGCGACGTTAAAGGTGCCAAAACATCTTCAAAATTGACGCGCGCATCTCCTCTCTGTGAACGTGAGAGAAACGAATCTTGAGATAACGGTCCACAAAAAATATGTAGAGTGAAATTTTCACTTCGAGCAAAAGTTAACAACAACTACATAACAGTGTTAACCTCACATTTAGTGTCGAAATTGCCGCACGATGTAGTCAACTATCATTCTCATGCAAAAATGAGAGTAGTCGGTCAATCACGGACTCATGAAACTTTGCAAGTCTTCAAGGGAAAGTTGATCTTTCTGGTGAACAGTTTTGATATGTCGCGTCAATGATCCCGATTGAGTGGCTCGGTAAGAACAAAAATTGCATTGGTAAGGTCGCTCTCCCGTGTGTGTTCTCATGTGTTCTCGAAGCCGTGACGCAAAATAAAGATCCCTACCACAAAAGAGACATATTTGTTTCCGTGCTTCGGAAGATGTGGGCGAAAGAACATCCCCAGAAACACCATCGTTTGCCAGTAGAGCAGAATCGTTTCTGGAAGCAGCAAAGCTTTCACACGAAGTTTCATATTCATCAGTTGCTAGGTGCCCTTTGGGGCGGTCCCGTCGACCGAGATGTTTGCGCTCAGTGTTGATAAGGTCGGCACTCGACATTACCTGTAAACGAACCAAGAATCATCAGAACTGTAAGAAAAACGCCAGCTCATCAAAGAGGTTTCTTTTGAAGGAGATTATGTGGATAAAGATGGGACAATCTTCAATGAGAATAATCGTGAGTTGACTAGATCTTGGACTCATAACAGCAATTAGGGTGGCACAGGTTAACTCCTGTGTAATGGACATTGCATACGTAACGCCCAGGTTATATTAAACAATGGAATTCCATGATATCGCAGCTTGATTTCTCAGATCTGGAGGACGGCAAGTTTTCGTTCACATTGATGCATTAAATGGTTTTCTGTTCCGAAGATTTGGTCGAGTGCACAGTTCGAACGTGCCTACTAAGCGTACTTTTTTGAGCGGCACGGTAGGAACACATCGGACATCCAAAAGGCTTCTCTCCTGTGTGGGTTCGCAGATGCCGTACGAGATCCGTGGAGTTGCCAACAGAAAATGGACAGAGATGGCAAAACTTTCGCTTGACACGCGTGGAGGCAGAATGCGCAACAGGAAAAGAAGGAACAGGCGTTAAAACTTGGCCCGAGTTCAAGGATGTCCGAACGTTTTGACCGATAGAAAAAGTTTCACATGAACCTTCTGATGGATAAGCGACAGTCTTGAACGAAGTTTCAGGCATCCACCCCTGGATGCTAGGTGAGCAAGTGGCGCTAATTGACTGGAATAGAAAAGACCAAAGAAAACGAGGAGTTAGTAAAGATTGCTAAAAACAAGCTTGTCAGTATCCATAGAAACCCATTACTTCTAAACTACTTATTATTTCTGGAAGTCACTCAAATGTGTGGTAAAGCAGGATGTACTGCGAATACGTGTTTTTTAAGAGTGATGCGCTGAGTAGCACGGTACACGCAATATGGGCATTGAAAAGGTCGTTCTCCCGTGTGAGTACGCATGTGTTCGTTCAATTTAGAGGGCCAGGGAAAAGTTTTGCCGCAAATTTGGCACGTGTGCCCGATTGCTGACACAGCACTGTTGCTTCCTTCGGCTACCGCAGAGCTCAGCCATCCGCAGGCACTCTTCGTCGTAACGGACAAGTCCGATGAACGAGACGAAGTTGACAAGCAGGCGATGTTGTCGTCTTTTAGGGAGACAGAAGCAGACGATGTGGTGATCTGGGCGACGGCAAGAGCAACATCAACAGTAGAAGAAGAAGAAGCAGCCATGCTCTGCGGAAGAACAGGTGTCTTCGGTGAATACATTTGACGTTAGCATCCGTCTCAGTGAAAAAAAATTTCGGCTTGCACGCTCTTTTCGCTCGAACGATCTAAGAGCACGAATCTTCGATTCGACATAAAATGGACTCAGAACTTCGATTATGGGCGTTTCAGTTAATTATTTAATCAATAACTTAGCTTAGATAATGCTATTGTTCACTTGTTAGTAGGATACTCAAGATTTGTTCTACTTATACTTTCTAGTTCTTCGAATAACGAATTTTTCCCATAATAACTAATTTTACCATAGATAAAAAAAATTCACAGAACTTTTGTTTCTGAACATAGCAAAATGCATGTTCCTACTTATAGTTTTCAACATGCTGAAATTAACAGAAAAGAATGGAAATTTTCCGCTTATAGTTGAATTCCTGATTGTTCCCGAGCCTTCGCCTGTTTGCCGTCGATGTTTCGAGGTTATTAACTGCGCAATAATACTAATAATAGATTGTTTTCGACGGAAGCCTAGACAAGACTCTTAAGCAAGCATAGAATTCTCTCAAAACGAACGACGCGCTTATCATCCCAGGAAGTAGGATGACATCAAGATAAGTTTACAGCCACGAGTCAAAGGATTTGCTTTGAATACCTGTTTTATTGTGTTTTACTGCAGGCTTTCAAAACGGTAATATTTACTTACTTTATCAATAATTAAAAGAAATCAACTTGATTAAAACATACAAATAGCAATATCGTGCTATTGAAAGGACCATCTGATTATTTTGGGAGATGGCATTTAGATTTTATCTGCACTGTCGCGTAATTCTTATCAACGATGTCTGCAGGTGCGAGGTAGAAACGGGCATACAAAGAACCTATTAACAATGAAGGCACATTGAAAATCAAATCATAAATCATGTTTATTTGACAACGTCGTTTCTTTCTCAAAGTATTTGAGAGCATCCAAATGGAACGATGTGGACATACATCGAAAATAACAACTCAGCACATGCATTACGCCTCATTAGCAGCCACCTAGGAAGATTATTACATCAAATAAAAGAAAAATAACTATCGTATAAATTAAACCGAAACTTTTATCAGCACTCTGAAAATTATTCGGAGTAAGAGTCATATAATGAGCGCTGTTTGCCATATCAGTCATTTGGTCTATCAAAGTATTATTCGTCGTTATTGAGATAGCTCGAGTTAAAAGTTTAATTACCTAAGGAGTGGTATAGAACCTAGTTCATTATCCAACCAAAATATACAAACAGAACAGAGTGCAGAAAAAATTTGATAGCTAAGTTAAATAAACCGTTATCACGATAACCTTAATATACAAGATACACACAAAAATACAATCACAATCCAAAGTAATAAAAACAGTGAACGTTAGTTGAGCGTTTTTTTCCGACATCAAGATTCACAGGAACAGCCATAGGCATATTTACCCAAAAAATTGTATCGGGGTCTATCAAGTTGACAATAAACAATAGCGTGCACGTGGGCCCTATTCAGAAGTGATCTGAATGCCTAGATAAGTAGTATATATATTCAAGAACCTCACATCTTGGAGCCGCCAGCAAAATGAGATATGGAACTTGTGGCAATACAATTCACTTCACACAAGGGGATTCAATGTAACAATATACAACACAGCGCATTAATTGTCAACATTTTTAAATCTATCATCGTCTTATTCACGAATCTCTCATTAAAACAGAATGAAATCCATTTTAAAATAGAAATTAAAATTAAATGTTTTAAATTTGTTCCAAGAAATTGGTCTATTCGTTCTTCTGGAGAGCATCATCTGAAGTAGCGCCTTTCTTTCCATGCACACACGCAAGATGGCGTTGCAAGTTACTGCGATGCGTGGCGCGGTAGGGACATAAGCGACATGGGAACGGACGCTCCCCGGTATGCGACCGAAGATGTCGTTGCAAATGCCATGATCTTAGGAAGCTACGACCACAAAAATGACAGACTTTGGCGCCAGTCATTTCAACTTGGCTGCCGAGCGCGACTTGACTGCCATGAACGAGACCAGAATCACCGCTAAACATCATCAGGTCTTCATCGACGTTACTCATAAACGACGTCGAAGATTCAACTGAGGAAAGAAGGTCCGCCGGAGAAGCTCCTCGATATTTACGATTTGAAAGGGCGCTTCGATTAGTCGAACTTGAGTTAGCTTCTGTTTGCGAGGCTTCAAGGTCAGTACCTGAGCTTGCACTTCTCATACCATCAGTTGACACCGACGTCGCACGAGAAGTCTGCAGTGAGGTTCCGAACGCGCCAACGTGGCCCTACAGAAGAAACGGTCATGTCAGTTTGCTGCACCGATCAATGAAAATCAGCAAAGAAAACCTCACAAAGCCGGCAACGAATTAAGAATTCCTCGTACCGAACGGAGAACATCAGCAGAGTAGACATCACAAAGCCTTCAACGGAAAAAGAATTCATTTCGATGAACAAAAATAGTCAGCAGAGAAAATCGTTGGGCGGATGCGTTCAAGGAAATCAATTATGAATGTTTTTTTCCGGAGACAGGAGTTCAAAGTAGTACTAAGTATTCAACACGATGACGCAACGTAACGACCGTTTTCACAATTTAGGATCAACCTGATAATACATGTGAAAAGAACGGCATTAGAGGAGCTTATGAATTCAATACATCAAAAAATGCTCAGTGTTGTAGAGAAACGTGCATTCAAAACAAGAACAAAGAATATCAAGACTTGCTTTACAATGGAGTACTATTTCAGTCTCAGATGATGATTGACGAAACATGAATTTCATAATTTTCATCACGCAATTCATCTACTTAGAAACGTCCTATCTCTTCAGAGACGAAAATCGGATTACGAAAGTTTTAATGGAATTAGTTGTCTCGTGTCGAAAAGATAATGCAATAATAAAATTCTTTACTTCCACAGAGCAGAGCAGTAAATGCGAATGTTCAATACGCAGATCGATCGCCCCTTGCCTCTTCACTCTATTTTCTGCACCTAATCAAGTGATAGGTTTTCAATCAAGTGATAGGTTTTTACATACGGCTCATCTTTCAAACGCATTCCAGTTGCTTCTCATTCTTTCTCGTTGTATACATAGAAATAGGATCCACAACAGCACGAGGTGCAAGCAGAAGGAGCACGTTTCCACCAATGAAGAGTAGCGGTAGCAAACTATTTGTAGGTGCACGAAGTTGGTAGCGCAAGTTTCGATCCTGAATTTGCAACTATCACGATGAGTTTGTTTAATTCTTTGCTCGTGGACTTGAGCGAGATGTAGCTTGATATGGGCATTGATTTTGGCTCGATATGAGCACAAATGGTAGTGGCAAGGCAGTGCGCGTCCACACGTGTCGCGTCAACAGGGAAGGCCACATGCAACTCTTGACGTTAACACTGCAACGATACACTACCACGCCAGAATTTTTTGCTCCGATTGCAGTCGCAGGGTACTTGAGAGTCTCTGATATCTGAACGAGCAATATCAACACATAAAAGCATGAGTTTTGAACAACGTACTGTAAAAAAAAGGATACATGAATTTATTCCAATAGTTAGACGGATATGTCTAAATTTTCAATGACTAACCTCAACGATTTACAAATTTGGGTGAGTTAATTTCATTGTCAAACAATTGTATAAGTGGAATATGTCGCACTAATATATCAAGAGATTCGATTGAAAAGTTGTAACCAAGTAATTGTACCAGTCAGGAATGAAATGCGATTGTAATATAACAATAATGACTGCACACCGTCACAGACTACGTCGACAGATGGTGATAGAGCGACAAATTAAAGAAATAGAACTCAACGCTGGAACGCTTCAAGACCCAATTAACGAAGTCTAAATGCACAAATTTCTAAGTGATGGTGATTGAAGTGGAGACACAATTCTGCAAAATAACTCATATCAACCCTTAAACGATGATTTATGGACGGTAGCAATATGCCTCTTGAGATGTCCTTTCAGTGTGCTGCGGTAGTCGCATATCGGGCAAGAATAAGGCCTTTCTCCAGTGTGAACTCGAAGGTGTCGAGTCAAATGTGAGGGGAAAAGAAATTGCTTGGAGCAGTAGGAGCAAGAGAATCGTTGGCCCATCGCAGATGATGTAGATGTAGCATTGGGCTTCGACACGGGGGAGTCAGAATAGCCATACAGCGATGTCTCCAAAGAACCCTGCAATATACGGTCCATGTCAGAGCAGGCAACCACGCCCGAGAACTTGTCAATGCATAAATGTTTCGTACTTTTGAGAATAATTAGCGGGTTCAGAAGTCACGTCTCTACACTAGTTCGTGCAAAATAGACAAAATTTATGTTTTCTATATTTTTCTCTTAATGCGAAGCCGATCCACGAAAAAGCCAGGTTAGTTCGCGTTTGACGTAGACACTACTCCGTGAACAGTTAAAATGTGTCTCTTGAGATTATTCGTCTGTGTAGCGCGATATGAACAATGCGGACACAAATAAGGACGTTCTCCGGTGTGTCTTCTCATGTGACGACGCATTTTGGACTTGGCGAGGCACTTGAAGCCACAAAAGGAACACGCATGCATGCCATCCTCGTGAGAAATAAAACTTTCATCAAGTGATAAATGCGTAACAATTTCGGCTGAATTCTGAAGCCCAGAACAAGACTCGGCATGAGCTAATCCAGGCTGTCCATTGTTTATCATGGCTGGCTCAGCACCCTCTAGAGTACCCAACTCAATGTTAACAACTGGCGAGATGTGCCAAGCTTCACACCCGAAGTGACTTGCATCCGTCGAAGATAAATATTTGTCCTTTCGACTGTTGGCAAGACGATGATGCGAATGCGCCGCTCCTGGGCAACGGATCTGTAGAGAAAGAGATCGTCAATCGATGACCCAGACTTCCTGGCTTTGTGAATTTGATTGATTTCTTTTACGGCGAAGAAATTTCTCACGTGACTAGCTCGATCGCGAAGGAACATTGCATTGGTACAATTTTCGAGAGGAAAGTCGAATTTTACTCGCTACATTGTGTTACGGAAGACAGAGCTCATGACGTTTTCAAGGTCAGGTGTCTTTGGATGCATTGTGATCATGTGCCGTTTGATGTGATATGGACGCCTGCCTTTGTAATAACAAAGGGGACACGAGAAAGGCCGTTCGCCGGTGTGCACACGTTCATGTTCTCTAGTTTTGGACGGAGTAACGAAACCTTTACCGCAATATTGGCATATACATTGCGGATTCTTTTTTATCAACGAATTATTGGCCGTATCATCCAGTTGGGTGACGGAAGCGTAGGGGAAGGCCGAGGACTCTTGATGTGCCTGCAAACCAGAGAACGGCGTCAGTATGAGATCCTGCGAAGGCTTGCTCTGGCCTAATTCTCACACTCTTCGATGATTTTCAGCGACTTGATTGCTTTCAATGAAGTGAGAAAGTATTTTTCAATAGTGGTCTCATACAATGCTGACTAAGGAATTCAAGACCTGATGGCCATAAGCTAAAAAAGAGTTTTTGTAATGTTAGCTTACAGTGTAATAAGACGAGAAAAACGTAAACCGACATGTATAATACGACAACTCGTAATTTACACTCTTTGTGTGTGTTTTGAAGTTTTCTTTAAATAATTCGAACATTTTAGAACTGAATTCTAAAACGCGGGTCAAAGTTTTAATTGAAATCACCAGTCCGGTACCAACGACGAATTGATGCCATCACTAGCGAATACGATACAATACTTGACCCGGTTGGAGTAATTTAACCAACAAGGCACATAATGGATCCCCCTCTGTTGACGTAATAGATGGAGACGCCTAGATAAGTGTGGCGGTAGCTAACGGCGGAGAAAGACCACCGGCGCCGTGCTGGGAATACATGTGCTTCATGAGATTGCTCTTGTCCGCAGCTCTGTGAGGACAGTAACGGCACATAAAGGGTTTTTCGCCGGTGTGAGAACGCACATGGCGGGCAAGCTTTGATGGCGTATGGAAAAATCTATGACAGAATAAGCACTGGTGGCTGGCTGCTTTTTGGGTGTTGGCAGTAGACGAGGATGAAGACAACCCGCCAAGGAGGTACTGAGAGCCAGCGGACGAGAGGAGCATCTGGTTTGTGATCGAAGAAGCCGAGCTAAAAACCGTAGAGTTTGCGGTACGGGACTCCCCCTGTTGACAAGACATACACCAGGTGAATAACGGACTCTCATTCAAGCTAAGGGCGCAAATAACCATTTGTTTCCACAAGTTCCCGGTATTGCCTAAAGAACACGAGTAAAATGCATTATCATCGAGAATGTGAGGCCGGTTCAGCAAAATGAATCGTGTCGACGTAATTTCCTAAGCAAGGAGATCGCGCTAGGTCGCATGCTATCCTAAATCAACTGGTGACTGAGACCTGTGAAGCATCTTCGGAACCTGAACACCACGTGCGCTAAACCGTATCACCCTTTATGGGAAAGAATAGAATACGACATCATCTTCTGCAAAATGAGACATTGCTTAGGAGGCCTTTTCACCAACGAATCTGAGAGGATCAGCAGAGATCTCAGATGCAAATGGGACTTCGTGCATGCCGAGGACGTGGCGCTTCAGATCACTTTTCTGCGTGGCCCGGTAAGGACAGTGAGGACAGATATACGGCCGCTCACCGGTGTGGGTTCGATAGTGCCGACGTAGATGCCATGAGCCAGGAAAAGTCTTACCGCAAAGCGAACAAATTTGAGAGTTATTTGTGATAACGTTTTCATTGCTTTCATTGCTGGTGTACAGTTGAAGTTGCATGAGATGTGACTGAGATGAAGAGCGCGTTGCTGAAGGATCACCAGAGGTTGGACTTAACGTTCTCAGATGCTGAGATTGGCGCAAGCTGATGTGTTGAGCAGCAACGACTGAAGCACACGTTGCCTGCACAGGGAATGAACAAAGCAGTTCGCAAGAAGTTCCTCATATTTATTGAAATAAATACATCAATCAAGTTTGCTGAAAAAGCAGCTCCGTTCAAGAAAACTGTAACCTGTGTTCCTTAAGTCACGTTTGTAAGCTTCTTCCCGACATTATCTCTATAGGAAATACTCGGCGCATCAGTCTTGGGCAGGCATCAACAAAAACAAAAACTTAATACGGAAGAGAATTATATCCTTGGCAAGTAATATTGGTACATCACCTCGTCATAAACAGAATATTAAAGTGAAAATGAAGTAAGCACGTTCACGTTCATATCGTTCAGCACGTTTATTTGCATATTAAATACAAATGAACTAAGTTGAATAAAATCTCTTTCTGCATGAAAATAAAGTTTGAACGAAGCGAGCCGCTGAATATATTGAATACAACCAAATGCTGGAATTTGTTGTGCACAGTGGAATAAGATCATTATTAAATGGCTGAAGCAAAGTAATCTGACCGCTAGTCGACGTATCTAACAATCTGCATATATTTACATATAATATTGATAAGAGAACAAGTGCTGCTCATACAACTGTGAAGGCGACTCCAGCTATATAGGCGACCTTTACGGAAAGACTCCTAATTACCAGCATCGTAATAATTTACTGAGATTACTAACAGAGGTAATCGTAATGTACACAAAGTTTTTCAGACGAGAATCAGTTATTTAATACGACGGTACATGATTAAGAGTGTAATGCTGTCATATGTCTGTTGAGATCAGAGCGTTGTCGTGCTGCGTAGGGACACAGAGGGCAAGGGTAAGGCCGCTCTCCTTTGTGGATCAACATGTGACGCTTGAGGCCGGAGTTGCTGAGGAACATACGTTCGCACATAGAACAGTTCTTGGGGGCGCATGATCGAAGCGAGGAGGTCTTATCGCCAGCAACATCGTGGTCGTCTGAGTAAGAAATGGTGTTTGTAGACGAAGCAGCAGCAGCAGCAGAATTTACCACTGCAAGCGTTGAAGAAGATGAAGCAGCGGCAGGAGGATGAGTTGTCTGTGAACGAAGAGTTTCGAGGTAAGCCCCAAAGTTAAAAACTTCCAAAGACTCAAGAATGTTTACTCGTTTGCTGAATTCAACGTGTCAACGTAATGCGGTTTTGGAATAAATTTAGACCCCCCTGGATCCCCTTTGTTCACCTACAATAAACAAATAACAGCCTTGATCACCAGCAACATTTTCAAGAAGCCGATTTCACTCACCGATGGAAAAAATAGTTTCTAGTGAGGTCGCAACAACCCATTTTACCCCCAAGTTCGTTGTTAGGTGGGCTTTCCATTCTAGATAAACCAGAGCTTTCTACTTAAGAAAGTAAAACGTAATTGATGCGTTTAACTTCTTGTAACTTACATTAGAATTCATCAAAAAGTGCTAAAATGGGTTTTAACACGACGAATCTTCGTAAGGCGTAACAGGCGGCATGTCTTGGTGACGCGAAGCAAGATGACGTAGCATGTTTCCTTTCAAAGCAGATCTGTGACTGCAGTATGGACAGGCAAAGGGCTTCTCTCCTGTGTGAGTTCGTAGATGCCTATTTAGGTCTCCTATCTTGAGAAAAGTTTTACTACAAATTTCACAAGATCGAGTTCTGGGCGGTTGAATGAAAACCAGATCCTCGGCAATTAGGAGCTGATCTTGAATTGGCAGCGTATTGCCGGTTCTTGGTCGAGTCAAGGATTCCATCGCGAAGGATTGATCCTGAAACGATAAACATCATCACTCAACCATCCATGAGTAGCAAGGTCAATCAGACACGCTTTGCCAATTAATCCCCTCAACATATTAAGATTTTATTTATTCCATGCTGCAATTAGCAATTTCCGTCGCAAATTTAGATCAATGATCCTGCAGAGCAGAAACAGAAACGTGGCGAATTACGCATATCCTAGTAACGCAAGGGAGCAAATCGATCCCATAGCCTCCACATTATCTCGGTACCGTGTGTACTAACAATTATTTTAAACAAAGCCTACTCAAATATAAGCCTGAGAACTCGCGCTGTAACATATTTTCTAGCCTTCTTCATATTAAATATTTGTTATCGCATCGACTGATCTCATCCGGCATTAGGCTCTTTCGAAAAACTTTTAATGCAGGATTCTCCTAAAATCTTTCAGTGTCAGAACTTCGTTTCAAAGCTGGACTTCTTCTTGGACATGAGTGTGAATTTTCTTGATATGTCTCAATAGGTTGCCTTTGAGAGCCGAGCGCAGATCACAGTAGGGGCATTGAAATGGCTTCTCGCCGGTGTG